AATGAGATAGATGAGTTGCTAGATAAAGAAGATGATAATGACAATAATTTAGAAACTCAATTTCATAATTTCTAGACAGATTATAAAGAAATAATAGAAATACTTGGGTTAAACTCAGGTAAAATTAATTACAATATAGATAATAATAATATCTAAACTAATCAAATTAAAAATACACTATTTACAACCACTAAAGTTTTAGAAGTAACTATTAATATTCTGGTAAATACTGGTTCAAAAGAATGTGTAGTAGCTAAACACTTCCTTGAAAAAGTTAATCAGACAATTAATGAGCCTAGTAATATTAAAGTCATTAATATTACAGATAACAAAGCAACTTCACTAAATCAAGTTAAAAATATACCTGTTCTTTTGGGTACAAAATTAACTTATGTTGATATGATAGTGACTGAGTCCAAGGAATATAATGTAGTACTTGGTAATGAATATTTAGATAAAGTTCAAGCTACTATTGATTATTATAATAAATATATAAGTATTGAAATAACAGACCAAATAGAGTATATTCCAATATCTTGTAAGCAATAAATAGAAAATCTCAATACTGTATATCTGATTAACTTCAAAGACTATTACTCTAACCAGGAATTAGAGTTAGAATTAAAGAATAATAATAAGCTTACTGCACCAACCTATACAACTATTCAAGTTAAGGACATTTTTGCCCAATTTAAAGAACAATTAATAGCAAATATAAAAATAAAAAATGCTAATAATCTTTTAAATCTTCCTCTACCAGATATTTTTAAGTTGATACAACCAGAAATCAAGAAAAGCAAAAATAAAAAGAAAGAGACCAAAAAGTTTCTATACCAATTAGTAAAAACAAATCAACCTTCATTAAACATACCTTAAACAATAACTAACAATAAATTATAACCCAACTACTATGTAAAAATGATAATATCTTTGCAACTGAATTTGCTGAACTGAAGAAAACTAATGTCATATACCATGCTATTAATTCTAGTGAATCTTATTTGATCAAACAAAGAGCTTATAAAGTATTACTGGTTGAACAAAAATATATTGAAAAAGAAATTGCTAAAATAAAAAAAGATGACATTATTTGAAAATCTAAAAGCCTCTAGAGTTTTTCTGTTATTTTGGTTAAAAAGAAAAACAGCAAGCTTAGATTTTGTATAGACTTTAGAAAATTAAATAATATGACAAAAAAAAACATCTATTCTCTATCAAGGATTGATAAAATTTTGGATAACCTTGGTAATACTTAATAGTTCATATCTTTAAACTTGACTTTAGGATATTGGCAAGTAGAAGTCAAGGAAGAGGACAAAGAAAAGACTGTATTCATTATTAAATATGATCTTTATGAATTTAATATCATACCTTTTGGATTATGTAATACTCCATCAACATTTCTAAGGCTTATGGATATAGTGTTAAGGCCTGTTCTGTAGAAAAAGGCCATGGTATATATTGATGATATTAATATATACTCCACATCTTTTGAGTAACATATACTAGATATACAAAAGATATTTAAATTAATTAAACAAGCCAATCTGCAAATTAATCCAAAGAAATATTACTTCTATACAAATGAAATGCAATTTCTTAGATATATAGTTGGGGTTAATAGAATCAAACTAGACTCTCAAAAGGTTAATAAACTAAACAATCTTCCCTTCCTAAAACTATTACTCAACTTCAAGCCTTTCTAGGCTTAGCATCTTATTATAGATATTTTATTAAAAGATTTTCTACAAAGGCTAGATTTTTGCTAAAATTATTAAAAAAGGATAAACCTTTTATTTGAGAAAAACTCCAAGATGAGGTTTTTAACTGGTTAAAATATTGTTTAACACATATCTCTATATTACAATACTCCAATTACAATGAACTTTTTATTCTGTTTACTAATGCTTCTTATCAAGAACTAGGTGCAGTTCTATCTTAAATTAAAAATAGTCAAGAGCATGCAATTGCTTATACTAGCCGTACTTTAGCTCTGGCAGAAACCAACTATAGCACTATTGAACTTGAATATTTAGAAGCAGTTTGGGTTATAAAATACTTTAAATATTATATTTTTAGAACAAGATTTATCTTGATTACCAATCACAAGACACTATAATGGTTATTAAATTCCTATACTATTAATGATAACAAACGGATAACTTGATGAAGAATAACTCTCCAAGAATATTAGTTTGATATTAAATATCAAGCTAGTAGCCAAAACAAAAATGCTAATTTTTTATCTTGTCTATCTGAATATTTAAAAGATAATAGATAACAAACTATACTATCAGCTATATCAATACCTTTCCTCTTTACAATTTGATTTGGACATCTCTAATATAGAAAAATCTGAATCCAAAAAGAAACAAAACATTATTTTATAGAAAACAACAAATTATATAGAAGAAATCAAAACAAGCATTAACAAGTAATCAAATCAGACCAGAAATGCCTTATTCTATACACTTTATATGATGAACAAGAAGTATATTTAGATATATCATCTATCTATAACAAGATAAAAGAAAGATATTATTGGCCTACTATATAATAATATCAAAAATTATATACAAACATGTGATATTTGCCAATATAGAGAACATAAAATTCAATGACAAGATTTAACCTCTCTAGAAGTTAAATATCTATTCTATAGAGTTGAGATCAATATTAAAGAACCTTTATTTCCTACTAAGCAAGGCAATCATTATATTATCATTACCATGGATTATTTGACCAAATAGCTAGAAGCAAGAGTTATAACTAATATAAAAGCTACAACTATTGCTAAATTCATATATAAAGATATTATTTGTCAATACAGAACATCTACAATATTATTATTTTTTTTTTTTAATATTAAGGTGACCATTTAGGCCCTTGGCACTTTATTAGTACAAGTGGTTAGGCTATATGTCTGAAGACTTGACCATATATTATATTGGTATTACAAGAATACAACTAGCCACACGTACAACTTTTGGTTATCTAATTTAAGTAGTCTGCCCAAAGGTTTTACACTAGCTGCCATATCTATAGCCTAACTAGGAAG